ATTTATACACGTTGAAACAGACAAAGAGCGTTGCCTGTAAACTGAACACGATCATTTATCTACAAAGTCCTCTTTTAACACAGACAAAAGCTGGACCAACAACATATTTTGACATTATTATTTCTAGTCGATTAAGTCGTTGGTAGAACAACCTAGATTCTTTATGAATACGACTAACGAAGTCCAGCACATGGAGACGACAAATTTCCGTATCTGAAGGTGTGATAAATCACAAAAAGTTTTTTTCCGCTTGGAGAAGAAGTTGATAGCATTAGAATCTGATGTAGCATATTTAAACCGAGTAAGAATGTTACTTGAAACGTTTGAACCAATGGAATCCATGGTTAAAGTCATTTAACTGGCGCATTACACATCCAGATAAGACTGACACCCAGAGTTCATCATGAAGTATTTTCTTATCACAAAGAGGGACGAGCAACTGTCAGTTTTAACATTTAATACCTCCTTTACGCTTTCGTTAAACTCAAAGAGTTGCCACTTGTTATTTATTCGCACGGGTCAAATTTTGCCATTGTTTCAAAGGTACCTGACTGTATGATGAAGACTGCTCCAATCGATATTATTATGAAGATGGAGGTATAAAAATAAATATTTAGAACATCGTCGTAGTTAAATAGTTCTGTTAAAGATGATTAGATCACACACTGCAAACCTGGAGATAAATGCAATGTTCAATTTATGATCTTTGTGAGCTTATTCAGCGCGCACAACAGAGGTTTAGGGGGTGACACAAAAAGCAAAGACACCACTAAACTGAACACTCATTTGCTGAGTTGAAAACATCACCATTAGCCAATTTCAACTGTTTTAAATACCTCTCTTACTGTATAGAAAGTATATGAAAAGAATGGTAAATAGCAGATACTCTGGTGTGGCTTGCTCCTTCTTTCCTAATAAACATATATCGTCCATATCACTCCTCCTACTTTTCTTTGCATCCTTCTTTTTAGTAACACCTCTAATACTTGACAATTATACTACCTATTTTTTTGCAAGAGCTGTAAAAGTCTTCTAAAATTGAACTAAAACAAAGGTATACGAAAACACCTTTATCCACTAATAAGCCTGACAAAGCCACCTAATCTTTGCATTTGCTCATAATATTATGTACAGGGAATTGTAGAAGAGAACTTAACTCTTACAGGTTGTAAGCCTATTCCCTGCTTTGTCGCAGTAAGTTTAATTTGAATTATGAATACGTTAACAATTTTCATTATTAAAAAATAAGTTTTAGACTAAAAGCAAGTATTTATCACAGAAATTTTAATAAAAGAATGAAGATTTCAAGCAATTGGAGGACACAGTTGCAATACAGACATGAAGATATTTATGATGAATGAGGTAATCAGAAACAAAAAAACAAAAACAAAAACAATAACGCAGTATCTAGTCAGTGGGTTTGCCGGCTTCTAAGAGTTGGGATGAGTGGAGAAGCGCGGTGGGACTGTGCTGGATGAGTGAGTTTCGATTGGCGAGATTTTATTGTGGGTCGATAGTAATGAGTAAATAGCTACCGGTTGAGCACCCATGTGAAACGGCAAGAGAAATTAAACGGGGAGAAAATTTAGCGAGTGTGGAAAAAGATGGGAAGTGATAATATTATCATTCTTGTCTTTTTTAAGCCTACATGTTCTCCAAGTAAAAACAGGGTGGCTATAAAATCCCTGAGACACAAAAAACAACAAAGACTCCCGCATTTAAAAGTTGACTGTGGAGAGTCAAATGGTGGAATCTCGCCAAACGTTCACTGTCATTTATTTTAAATGACTACTGTGTCCTTACTTTTTAACTCAATCGTTTAGATTACAACCTGTTTTCGACAAAGTACCACGTTTGACAGACTGGAGTTTCAGAGCTGGTCTTTATAGACCAGCAGTACAACAGTAATGGAGCCAGTTGTGTTGGTATCGATTATCTTTTAAAAGAAATTAAGCATGTCTCATCTCAGAAGCTGCTCGCTGTTCCAATCTTAGACTATCGATTGTTTGGTGAAGAATAGAGGTAAAATAGCTAGCTATTCCCAAATCCGCTGGTAAATCATAAAACAAGTTTCGAACTGTTAGATAACGAAAGATTAATTGCTCTATTTTTACGAAAGCTACTAAGCTCTAACGAAATCCTATGTAGTAAATATCAGATCAGAACAGATTGAGCGCACCATTGTTTGTGAACAATTTGCTTTTCCTTCTTTTCTACAGCTGCTATTATAACTTAGACTCCCAATTCATCTCTCTCTCTCCGCTCTCTCTCTCTCTCTCTCTCTCTCTCTCTCTCTCTCTCTCTCTCTCTCTCTCTCTCTCTCGTTCTCTCTCTCTGTGTGTATTCAAGTGTGTGTTTGTGTTTATGTGTGCCTTTTTGTGTGTATGCCTGCTTGTGTGTTTGTGTGTCCGCGTGTGTGTGTATGCGTTTGTTCATATGTGTGTGTGGGTGTTTGTTTGTGTGTGTCTTTCTATGTGTGTGTATGTGCGTGTGTTTGTGTGTATGTGCGTGTTTGTTTAGGTATGTACATGTTTTACCAAGAGGAAGGGGGGCCGTGCCCTTTATTTCTTCATTTTTGTTTACTTATACTTTCGTAAATACGTCTCAGTGCCTGCAGGGAAAAAGAATGAGTGTGCGCTGGGGTAATATCTATCTATCTATCTATCTATCTATCTATCTATCTATCTATCTATCTATCTATCTG